GGTCAGGATGTGCTCCAGTCTCTCCTCCTCCCCCGTCATCTGTTCCTGTGTGCTCTGGTCAGATATATCCTTCTCCCGAAGCTGCAGATTCAGTGCCATCGTTTGAGGTACATTCTTCTCAGGGGAGGGGCAGGCATCCACTTAGTATTTGGGGCTGGGTTTTGTTTGTTTAATAGGTGAGGAAACTGGGTTATTTTTCTACTCACTCATGGAGTGTTTTGCTTGCTCAGTGGGCAAATGGGACAGAGATTGTTTTCAGGCAGAGAGACAAAACATCTCCTCCTAAAGGCCTTGTGATGATTGATTGAGTTAATAAAGCTGTTAGAATAGTACTTGCCACTGAGTGGACATTACAGGGCCTTGGCGGGCATGATGGGTTACATGCGGGCTGTTCCATGAAAGATGAGCAGTTCAAACCCGTCAGTTGAGACTTTGTGTTCCCGTAAACATGGGGACATTCTGCCCCCTCCTGTAGGGTTGCTGTAAGTTGAGATTGACTCAGTGGCAGCGAGTGTGTGTTTTCAGTTTTGTTTTTATTTCTTTAGAAATCATTTTATTGGGGACCTTTGTAGCCCTTATATCACTCCATGCATCAATTGTATCAAGCGCATTTGTGCATATGTTGCAATCATCATTTTAAAAACATTTTCTTTGCACTTGAGCCCTTGGTATCAGCTCCGCTTTTGTCCTTCCCTCCCCAACCCGCCCACCCTGGTGAACCCTTGAAGAATTATAAATCATTATTGTTTTCATATCTTACACCATCCGTTGTCTCTCTTCACCCACATTTCTGTTGTTCGGAGTTTGTGTGTGTGTGTGTGTGTGTGTGTGAGAGAGAGAGAGAGAGAGAACGTAGATCGTGATTGGTTCCCCCTTTCTTCCTCTTCTCTCCCCACCACCCCCCTCCCCACCTGGTGTTGCCACTCCCATTTCTGTTCCTGAGGGGTTTATCTATCCTGATTCCCTGTCGAGAGCTCTTATCTGTACCAGTGCACATGTTCCGGTCTAGCCAGATTTGTAAGTAGAACTGGGGTCATGATAGTGGGAGGGATGGAGGAAGCATTAAGAATTAGAGGAGTCCCTGGGGACCTTGCTTTGCTTCCTTTGCTGCTCTACTGCGCTCCCTTCATGTCTCGCCCTGGTGTGTCTGGCGTGGCGAGCGCAGACGGCACAGTTCCCTCACTGCTCCAGTGCTGTCCCCTGCAGTGCTGGCATCAGTGATGGGACATTGTGCCTTGTGGTGGGGCCCTTTGGTCCTCTCTGTGCCTTGGCTTCTCTGAACAGGAATGTCATCCTCAGGGCTTGGTGGGCCAGGAAGCGGTTATCTCTCTCTCTCTCTCTCTCTCTCTCTTCCTCTTAGTTTGTTCCTGTGTGGTCTGACCCCCCTCTCTCCCTGGGCTGTATATTCAGTGCTGTCCTCTGTAGTGCAATCTTCTGGGGAGAGGGTCCATAGTAGCTGGGATTGGGGCTGCTGTGTTTTGAGTTTTAGGTATGTAAAAGAGCTCTCTACCAATGGTTGTAAAACGTTTAGCACTTGGCTGCTAACCGAAAGGTGCTGAAAGGCTGCTGGTTCAAAGTACTGGTGACTGATGGCCTGGAGGTTATCGCCTAGGAGACCCTACAGGTCAGTTCTGCTCTGTCCTGTCGGTCTGCAATGCCTCGGAATCTACACAGCAGCAGCCTGTGAGATTGCTTTTGCCTCATTAGTCTTCACTTTGTAAGTTAGGTGATTAAATGTACCGGACATAAAAACAGCTTTGTTTTTGTTTTTTATTTTAGAAAACATTTAATTGAATCTTCCTATGATTCTCTTACTATTACAGGCCAAAGATTACCAGATTGGATTTTAAGAAGAGTAAATTAACCCTGGTTGTTGTAGAAGATGATGACCAGGTAGGAATTGCTTGTATTCTTAAACAGTGACCATGTTGTGTGGTACTTTGTGTTTCTAACATTGGGAACATATCTCATAGTTTTTATAGTTGTAGAACAGAAACTTAGTATAATGATTTATGTGTTTAATTTGTATTTTTGGCCCAGGTCATAGCATCCTAAAATACAAATTTGTGCTCTTGAAAGATAATATAAAAGATTTTCTTATTCATTGATAATCTATTTTAGATACATGAAAAAATTATATTTAAATTCATTATTTTGTGTGTGTGCATGAGAATTTTCTTTATTTTAAACCGTTTTATTTGGAATTTTATCTACATATCTTACAATCCAGCAGTTCACTCATATCAGGGAGAGTTGTTCAATCATTACAACAATGTTAGAACATTTTCTTCTTTATTGCACTCCTTCTTAGTAACTCCCCATCTCCCCCCAACCTCCCCAGCGGTACCTGTAAGAAACCAGGAATAACATTATGGTACAATCCCGATAGAGTTGCCTGTCCTGGATTTCAAAATTCTAATATATACCTTTAGTATCTGATCCAGAAGAGCAACCAGAAAGATCTACTTACCATTCTTAAAGTATTCTAAACTAAGAATCTTTTCATTTTAAATCCAGTTCCTAATTGATATGTACAAGAACATGGATTCATCTTCAATACGTTATCCTAACTGAAAGAAACAATCCTCAAAAATGACATCCTAGTGTAGCAACTATGAAGCATACAACTTTCCTCTAGTTCCTAAATGGCTCCCCTCCCCCACTATCATGATCCCAATTCTACCTAGATCCCAAATCTGGCTAGACCAGAGGATATACACTGGTAACAGATAGGAACTGGAAACACAGGGAATCCAGGGCGGATGATCCCTTCAGGACCAGTGGTGTGAGTGACGATACTGGGAGTATAGAGGGAGTGTGGGTTGGAAAGGGGGAACCGATTACAAGGATCTACATGTGACCTCCCTGGTGGATAGACAACAGAAAAGTGGGTGAAGGGAGACGTCGGACAGTGTAAGATATGATAAAATATTAATTTATAAATTACCAAGGGCTCATGAGGGAGGGGGGAGCAGAGAAGGAGAGGAAAAAATGAGACGCTGATGCGAGGGGCTTAAGTGGAGAGCAAATGTTTTGAGAATGATGAGGGCAAGGAATGTACAAATGCGCTTTACACAATTGATGTATGTATGGATTGTGATAAGAGTTGTATGAGCCCCAATAAAATGATTTTAAAAATGGCATCCTGTTTGCTCCTATTGGCATGACATTCTGGGAAAGGCAAGCATAACAAAATAGAGAACAGATGAGTGTTTGCTTGAGATTAGGAACAGGGAATGAGATTTGAGTATAAAGGACCTGAGGATTTTTTGGTGGTGACTAAATGACAGACAATGCATTTGTTAATGTTCACAGAAAGATATAAAATAAATTAATTTTTCTGTATGCATATGAGGCACCCTGGTGGTGTATTGGTTACAAGTTGCGCTGCAATCTGCGAGGTTGGCAGTTCGAAACCACCAGCCACTGTGCGGTAGAAAGACAGGGCTTTCTACTCTCATAAACAATTACAGTCTCAGAAAGTCACAGGGCAGTTCTGCCCCGCCCTGCAGGTTCACTGTGAGTTGACAGTGACCAGATGACAGTGAGTGAGTGAGTATGCAAATTAATAAGAATTTAAATGCACTTACACATATAGGCAGATATAAAAAATAGAAAGTGGACAAGATGCTAACATGCATTGACTCTTGTTGGTATATCTGTTGTTCATCTTTTTCCTATGGTTTGAACATTTATAGTGATGAAAAGATTTTTTTTCCTTTTTTTGTTACTGGGATTTAATACAGGTATCATATCATTCCCTAGTTCAGTCACATCAAGTAGAATTGTACAGTTGCTACCACCATCAGTTTCCAGTCAGTCTTTATCTATAGGGACCCCTTGACATCATCTACTTTTTACCCCTTCCCCTCAAAACCCTTATTCTACTTGCTGTCCCTGTAAGTTAGTAAGTCCTAGGTTTCATATATTGGAAAAGATAAAAGCTATTTACACAACTTCCAGAGGGTGACCTCCAATGACGTAACACCTTGAAGATGCACCCTAAGATGAACAAACAAAGACCAAACCAAACAGCACAAACCAAAAATGTAGAAAATCTTGGAAGCCAGATCAGGTCCAGCGTGCACTACAGGGATCTCCTGACAAAGTTGTATGTGTTCAGGCCCGGTTATGCCTTTGCATCTGTGCGCCTCTCTCCCAGGCGCTCTGTGTAGTGACCCTTTCCTCCCAGCCCTGCAGTTGGGATAGGGAGAGTTCTCCGGAGGCTTACTTCCTACTAGTCCCAAAAGTGAGTCCTGGGCTCCCACGGTCACCCACAGCCTTCTGCAGTTCTGATGGTCACAGTGCAGACTCTGAAGCTAACCCCGCCGTTGGTTTCAGATTGTATACATGCCGGTCCTTCAGTGACTGACGATGGCGTGCTTTTCCATACGAGCTTAGTTGACCTCTCACTGAGTGGCTGCTTGTTTGGAGACAGGCCTGAAAAGATTTTTAAATCTTTCCGTTTTCAAAATTCCTTGACATATCACGCATGTACTTCTCCTGTGCTTTATTGGTGTCTGTTTCTCTTACAATTTTTGTCACATGTGTATATTTTTTCTAGTCAGTCTGCTCATGATTTATAATTCACTCTTCCCTATATTAATGCATTTTGGTTTAGCATTGTAAACTATGACAAGTAATAATTAAAGATAAAGTATATACATTTTATAAAAATTTTGCAAGTATGGAATTGTGATTTATTTTATTTTTTAATTGTATTTTTAATGAAGTTTTACAACATAGTTTATATTCTCCTTCAACAATTTCTGCACATACACGTTTTTCACTAACAGTGGTTACGTTGTTCATAGTAGAGGAACATACATACTTCCATTCTGTTTGATCCAATTAGATTTATGATTTTATAAGTATTTTGCTTCTGATCATAAAATGCTCACGTTTTATTGTTTTATACTTGATCTTTAATTATAGGTGTTTAACAGATAAGGCCATATTTGTTTTATCCTTTATTTCCTTTTGTTGGATATGTTTCTGCTCTTCTCTATTGGGCCACAAAGTGCTGTAAGAAACTATTGGGCCACAAAGTGCTGTAAGAAAATTATCAGTGTAAATTCCAACATAAGTACTAATAAATAGAAAACTGAGAATCAGGTAAGTTTTACTGTGCCTCATAATCATAGCCTTCTAAGGATTTGCTATGGTTTATTATGGATACAGGTGGATGAAATAATTAGGAAAGCAATAATACTGTGCATTAAAGACTTCTATGCATACAGTATAATTTTTTTGTTCAGGATTTTGGATAGTGATGGTGGACAGTAAAATAAAATAAGAGGATTTGTCAGAAGCCTGGTGGCTTTTTTCATAGTAAGCACTTTACAATCATTGCATCTTGAAATACCTCTTGGGCTCCACAGGCGTTCGTCTAATTAATAGGGCGACCAGGCATTAATGTGAGGCTGCTTTAAGAGAAGAGGATGGATGAACTATTTCACGTGTCAAGTAGAAGAGTCCAACAAATAAACAAACCATTTCAGCAGCGTGGTGACTAGTAACGCAGGAGTGCGTAATAGACCTGCAACGATTTTGGACGTGTATGCGTGTGGCTTCATTTGTCATAGGAATTTCTTACACTGAAAACCTGTGCATCCAAGGAAAAGTAGGTTTTGATGTAGGAAGCACTTCCATAATATAGCAAGTGGAAGTTTGGTACAATTGTGTTTTTAGTATGATAATACTGATTTTTAAACTTTTTTAACATAAAGTTCAGATAGATTCCAGTCTTAAGCATCACAGAGTAATATAAGCTTTTGGTAAGTTTCATTTTGATTCTTTGTCTTTTATGTTGTTGTAAACATGTAGTCCTTACGAAATAAAAGCCAGGGAGTGGGTGTTCCCAGTATTGGTTAGGTACCATTTAGCTTACTCTTAGGTTTTAAGAGTTTACAGTATTGTCTCTTATGGAGTAGATCCTGTTATAGTGAAAAATGAGTCTCTTAAAAATGAAAAGCAAAGAGTTTATTCACGCAGAGAAGTGTTTTGCAAAATGGGAGTCAGGGTCAAGCAGCCCTTGACAGAGTGCTCCAAGGAGCTGCAGGGTCACAGAGGCGAGTGGAGAGCAAAGCCGCACACTGGAATGTGCTCATTGACGAAGGCGCACTGAGTTGCAGGAGTCAGGGTTCTGGCTGGCCCTCTGCACGGGTTGGTTTTTTGTCGGGATGGTGACAGGATTTTGGTTGACACTTTAGTTTCCTGGAGCAATTTAAAAATACAGATACAGGCTACTGTAAAGGGTCACCTAGTGGCATTTTTGGAGAATCAGCTGACCACCAGTTACATTAAATCACCTCGACACCCTTAGCCAGAAGTTTGAGCCATGTCCAGAGCCTGGGTGTTTAGGATGCTCTCTGAGCTGCGCTGTTTCTAAAGTGTTACACGTTGCTTCTAGAAGTAGAGAAGTCAACGTAGACGACTCTCACTCTCAAGGGACTCGTCGGCTTGGAAAGAGTGCAAGCTATGCAGGCGTTTTTTAAAGCCTGTGAACAGCTCCGATGAATTGGCTGACATTTCCTCATAGATTTTTAAATTATTATTTAGTGTGTTTTCATTTAAATTATTTAATCATAAAACCTGGAAAGTTTTATGGGGGGGAAATACCTCCCCTCACAGTTTCCTTCTATATGGTCATCTCTATAGAGATATATTTATACATATATTTTTTAAGTTAAAATACTTTTACACATATTTTTGCTTTCCAACAGCTAGAAAAATTTGTGTCTTCCAGTATAATTTTGTCGTAAATACTCTCTTAAAATTGTGTTGCCCAAGCAGCAGTTAAGACATAGTTACTACTGGCAACTGGCAGCATGTATGTGACTTATACCAACTTCAATTGAGTTTTATTGAGCTCAGTAAGTAGCTTATGCCTT